GCTCCACCGAAGGTCCCAGTGGGTGTGCCCGCGTGCGTCCCGCACACCCATTTCGGCACACCCCTCACACGTTTCGTGGCCCCATAAGGAGCTCCACCGAAGGGCCCAGTGGGTGTGCCCGCATGCGTCCCGCACACCCATTTCGGCACACCCCTCACACGTTTCGTGGCCCCATAGGGGAGCTCCACCGAAGGTCCCAGTGGGTGTGCCCGCGTGCGTCCCGCACACCCGTTTCGAAACACCCCTCACACGTTTCGAGGCCCCATAGGGAGCGCCACCGAAGAAACTATTCACAATTGCGGTATTCACAATTGCATATGGTTGGGTCCTTCGCCCGGATAGTTTAACGAGTGTGTGCGGAGCGAAGGCGATAGCCACATTTTGAAGTCGACCCGGCCTCCATCTGAGCCATCAGTGGTGAGGACGTTCCATGCGAAACGCCAGCCCGCCCTTTCGACTGGCCTCGGAGTGCGACAGGGATAAAATATGTATAAGGAAATGGAGGAGGAGAAGGAGGAGGAAACGGAGGAGGAGGGGGAGGGGGAGGAGCAGGAGGAGGGGGAGGAGCAGGAGGAGGAGGAGGAAAAGGAAGATCAGGGCGCTTTCGGGTTTTTTTACTTGCGCGACCTCCCGATCGGTCTCCAGGGGGGGGGGGAGCGCTTCGGCCCTTTGTCGCCCTCTTGCCCCATCCTCCCCTCCGCTCCCTCCTCCCCCCCTTCTCATCCTCCTCCCCCCTCCTCGCCCTCGTCGTTGTTTTCTTCCTCGTTCTTGTTTTCGTTCTCTTCCTCATCGTTATCTACCCTTCCAGTCATCCTCCCTTCTCGTCCCTCATGTCTGCTGCTGCTGCTGCTGCTGCTGCTGCTGCTCCTCTTCCTTCCCCATGCTCCTCCCTGGCGCTGTTTCTTCATTTCCCCCGCCTTGACTTGCTTTTCTCCTCGACCTCGCCCCTCCCTCCCCCTCCACCTCCCCCTCTACCTGCCCCCTGCCCAACAGGCTGTGCAAAGTCTTCGAGGGCGACGAGGGACGCTGGAAGACCACGACCATTCTGACAGCATTCCTGTACCCCGTGCGTCAGAGAAGGGGCTCCCCCGCGCAAGCAGGCGCAAGGGAAGGACAAGTGATGATGGACGAAGAGGGAGTAGGAAGAGGAAGGAGGGTGAGGAGGCTGAATGAGGAGGGGTACGAGGAGGCGGAGGAAGAGGAGGAGGAGGAGGTGGTGGTGGTGGTGATTGATGTTGATGAGCATTGGGTGCCGATGGAAGCGGAGGGGGGCCATGGCAGCGCAGAAGAGATTCATGTGCTAGGAGGAGGATGAGGAACATGATGACGATGGCGAGTTATTACATATGATGGTGGGTATATCATGAAGGGCGAGACGGCGAATTGTGACGTTCCGCGTATATCCACCAGCTGCGGTCTGCTCCACCTCGGTGTGGCTGGCGCCAAGGTGCGTTTGCACTAATGTGGAACATTTTGCTCAATGCATGTGCACACCTCGCATTCCCTGCGACTTATTACTGCAGGTGCGTTGCCTGTTGTAGCTAATTCGCATCGCCTGCTGGCCCAGACGACGCCTTCCGCTCCCTGTCCGCCGCCTGGGGACCGCCGACCAAAAAAAAAAAATCCACCAGCCCATCCAAAGACGATGCCCAGGCGACTTGCTTTATCATAACAGTGTAGAAGCATGCAGTGGAACGACGTTTGGATCAGCTTGGGCATATTCAGGGCGAGGACGAGCACGAGGGGGATGAGGAACACAAGGAGGAGGACGAGGCGGAAGACGAGGATGAGGACTTGGAGGAGGACGAGCAGGAGGGCGAGGAGGACGAGGAGGTTGAACAGGAACGGACGGAGACGCGGAGGAGGACTTGGGGAAGACCCGGGAGGCCCTCTTGGGGCCCTCTTAGGCGGTCTCTCGCGGCATTCTTGGCTTTTTTTTTGCGGGATATGTCGGAGGTTGTTGACGTCCTTTTGGGGGTCTTTTCGGGTGGTCTTGGGGCTCTCTTGGAGCATTCTTGGAGGCCCTGGGAGCCTTGGAGGGCCTCTTCGGGTAATATTGGAGTTCGTCGATCAATAGGGGGGTTGGTCCTCGATTTCCCTTCCCCTTTTTGGGCCAGTAACATCATCTCTTGGGGCGCCCTTGGGGCTCTCTTTGGCGGTCGTGGGGCCGTATGGGGGGCCTCTTGCGCCACAATCATTGGTCCATCTTGGGGTCACCTCGTAACCTCAGTAGCCTCACAGCCACGTCGAACCGGCGAGAAAGCATTGATAAGTGATGGTCTTTAAGTTGTTGCATGCGTTTGTTCTTTTCGAGAAGTTCTGATCGGAACTCCGAGAGCGCGCTGAGTCGTCATTGGGTCTCTCGTGGAGGCATGTCGGAAGCCATATTGAACCATTTTCGGCGAGACGGCGCTCATCGCGGAAGGCCGGAACTACGAGGCGCGCGACCGGTTGTGGATCCGTTTCTCAAGTGGGCGCAGCGGACAAATCGAGATGGCGCGCGCGGCGAAGAGTGAAGCCATGCCCGTCAGCAAGACTCTAGAACAGCAGCTCGGGAGGCGCAAGGGTAAACCTCGACGACGCGAGCTCAGGGAACGAGATATCCCGAAGCATTTGAAGGAGGCGCTCGATGAGGCCAAGAAGGAATGGAGCAGTTGGTGTCACTACGATACGGTCGAGATCCTCAACGCGAAGCAGGTCCGTGAATTACCGCGGTATGTGCAAGCGGCGCCGACACGATTCGCACTCACGGACAAGAGCGATGCGATGCGCACGGGCGACAACAACTCCCTGTCAAGCTGATGGCGAGACTTGTTGTGTTGGGCAATTTGGAGAAGTCATCCAATGACCGACGCGACGCTCCAACTGGGAGCCTTCTCGCTCAGCACATGGTACTGGCCTTGGCGGCGTCAAGTGGAGGAGGACGTGATTGGCCAGCTCGCGTGGTCCGTAAGATGGACGCCAAGAGCGCCTACCTGCAGGGGGACGTCATCGATCGTGAGCTGAACCTCAGACCGCCGTCTGGTGGCATACCCGAAGTTTCCCTTTCTGATTGATCACTGCTGCGTGCGAGCGTCCCGATCAATAGCAAGGGCGACGCCGCGCACGGGTGATGGAAGAAGGCGTACAATAGTCTCTTCACCAGCAACTGGAAGATGAGCGCCTTGGAGCTGGCGCTGTTCTACCTGGAGCATGAGGGAGAGCTGGTCGGCATGTGCACGACGCGCGTCGACGACATCTTGATCGCGGTTTACGACGAGCCCTACGAGGATAGCCTCCAGATTCCTGAAGGACTGGTGGATTTTGACCAGGACGAGTTGCTGAAGTTCCAGCATTGCGGCAAGACGATCTAGCAGAGTAGCGACGGGACGGTGGCGACTGGGCAGAAGGAGCGCGCCAAGAACACCACCCATATCCATGTCGCACGGAGCAGGCAGCGACAACAGGATGCAACGCGTTCCCCAGCCGAGGTTTCCATGCTACGCGGGCGTCACGGAAGTGCATCACGGTTGCAGCGACAAACAAGGCCTGATCTGTCTTTGCGAGTTCGATTGGACAGTCAGCTTTCGCTCCACATACGGCGCACGACCTATTCGCAGGTAACAAGGCCGTGAGGCAGGTGCGCGAGCTTGCAGATCGGATGGTCATATTTAGTGGAGATTGTGTGGACTGGCAGAGCGCAGACGTCCGCGAGCACAGAGTCGGCGCGCGCGAATGTCCAGGGTGTCGCGCTGCAGCACGGAGAGGGCGGTGAGGCTGCAGGCCTCAAGGCGGAGCCGTTCCGCAGCCAGCAGGGGCGAGTGGTCGGGCCGATGGTGCCATTCGACGAGACGGGTAATGCGAATATGTACGTCATGAAGTGGGCGAGTCAGGTCGAGATGCGCGTTTGCAGGAACACCCTAGCGGCGGAAACGCATGCGCTGGCGAAGGGCACCGAGATGGCATATTGGTTCAGGGCGGTGTTGCTCGAGAGTCGCGACCCCGTGTTCCACGTTGCCGAGTGGGGGAGTCGGACGCAAGGGATCCACGCATCGTGGAAATACGATGCCAAGAGCGAGGTGGACGGACCACCTGAGCCAGGGCGTGGGCGCGCCCCAGGACGCGCGCGCATCGTGCTCGCGTCGCTGACGCAGCTACTGGCGAGGGGTGGAGATGAGCTGCGTTGGGCGGGCACCAGCGCGACGCTGGCAGACCCTTGGAGCGAGGGGGGCGCGCTGGGCGACTGGGTCCTCCAGCGGGCATCGTACAGCCACGAATGCCACATCAGCGCCAGCACGGACATGAAGGACTTCTAAGACGGTTAGGCGGCGATGCGGCGGGACTTGCAGACAAGGCGCAAGGCGGACTCAGCCGGAGTCGAGACGGAGCAGAATGCGACATCAACCGGGGGGCAGGAGGCCACGTGAGTGAGAGGTTAGCTCGGATTTTAGTTCTTGCGTTCATTTCATAGTTTCCCATGCCATCTGGGCGTGGCGTTTCATATGCGGCAGAACCCATCGGTTCGTGCCTGTTTTTCCATATTGCGTTGGTAAGGGCCTTTCTCTATATTCACGAGGGGTGTGAACTAATATCCGCTTCTAAGAGTTCGAGGCCCTCTCGCGTTCGTGTTGTTCTGTGCCGGCATTGATGCAAGCGGGCCGCTGCTGTTCTGGGTTTCTGCATGCCTGCAAGGGGGGCCGTTTGAGCACTGCTACTGCGCGACCGCCTCGCATGAGCGAGCAGAGATCGCGGGGCATCCATCGCATCCATCGTTGGCGCTGCGTGGCGGGGGTGCATGTCACGACGGCGATGTTGCAGAAGAACGTATTTCACACAGTGAATTTGACATCTGGACAAAGAGGAGCTTTCGAACCCTCGCGCTTGCATGGGCCTTGTGGCATTCAACCACGCGCTGAAGTCGCGGCGGCGGATTAGTTTGCCCGCGACCCCCCGAAGGACCTTCAGCGGATTGCCGCGTGCGCGCCTTGCCAGATGATCGGGAGGGGGTGGGGGGGAGCGGTCTTTTTCCTTTGAGATGGTTTCTTCCGGCATGGCCACAAGGCAATCGCGAGGTAGCTCACCATGGCAGCTACGGAGTGAGAATTGCCGCTGTAGCTGCGCTAGTTGAGTGGACTTCAACGGTTGAGCGCCGGTATTTCACTCACTGCGGATGGAGTTGGTTGCAGACGACGGGGTGTTCTCTGTCGAGGTGCTTTGGATGTGGGCCCATCCTTGCAAACCGTGTGATTGCAAACCGTGTGAGTGGGAGAGCCGAGGTGATTCGGGAATGGTGTAACCACGTACCTACGCACGTACCCGTCCCGCCCATCGGTCGACATTGCGCCCCGCCCTTCCTAATTTACGGGGGGGTGGAGGAGGAGGAGGAAGAAGTCCCCGCCCGTTTCTCTTCCCTTCTCCATTTCTGCAGGTACCCTGGATTCTTCTTCTTGATTTTCTTCGTGCTGAATCTGATGATCTGGGGGCAGAAGGACCGACGAGTTATCCCTTCTTGCCTCAACCCCATTCCCTCCCTGCTGCCCTGTTCCTCCGCACTTCCTCCACCTTTTGACCTCCTCCTCCCTCCTCCTCCCTCGTCCCCTCTCTCCTCCCCCACCCCCTCGTCTCCCACCATTTCGGTTCGCCTTTCCATTTCTCCTCCTTCCGCTTCCCTTCTCCTTTTCCTCCGCCATGTCCTCTTTCCTCATTCCTCGCGCTTCACCCCACTATCACGGTCTGCCCTCTTCCTCGTCTTCTTGCGTCTCTTTCTTCCTTCGCCTTCTCGCGTTCTTACGCCTCCCGGGTCCGTCCTCCCTCCTCCATTTTCCGTCCTCTCCTCTTCCCCCCCACCACCCATCGCCCCCGTCCTTCCGCTCACGGTACTTCCGCCTTCCTATTCCGCCTTCCTTCTCTTCAGCATCCTGTCCAGCTTGCTTCTGGTCAACCCGCCTATTGGAGTAGGGGCGAGTTCCGAACCCGAGGCACAATTTCAATCCTTTGCCTCCTCCTCCTACTCCTCCTCCCTCCCGCCTTTCCCAGGGACGCTCCTGAGCCCGATCCTTCGAGACTCCACCTTCTTCTTATTCGTATTACTATTATCTTTATTGTTCTTTGCTTCTTTTTATTCCTCCCTGTCGCCGTCGCTGCATGTGTCCTCATAATCCCCTCCTCCCTACCCTCCGCGCTGCAGTCTTCCGGAGCCGTGCCGTTCACCACGATGTTTGCGCTGTTGGTGCTGTGGTTCGGCGTCTCGGTGCGCTCTGGGGGGGGCATGTTAGGATGCAACTCCTGGAAGACTAAGCTCATCATCGGTGCTAGTATATGAGTGGTCGAAGCCTGATGCATCATTGTCCCGCTTATTTGCATATCGTCTCGGTCACTTCGGTTTATCCGGCTTAGTCCTGGGCTTCATTTGGGCTAATCAGGTTGATTGGCCTTGTCATATGTCTTAAGAGCCTTCACTTGTTCTCACGACGAGACCTTCCAACAATCGCTCTCTAATCGAGGATGCGGATGGGGATGCTGGTGAACATGTTTCATGGTGATGGCGATGTCGTTGGTGGTGGTGATGGCGGTGATGATAACTGCGGTGATGATGAATGATTAAGGTGGTGGTGATGATGATGATTGAGGTGATGATGATGACGATTGTGGTGATGGTGATGGTGATGGTGATGATGCTGATACTTACACTGACGATGTACCCAACCCTTGCGCAACGTGTGACCATACGAGCTGGGAAGAGTTTATAGCGGGCGATGACGTGACACGGTCTTATGTTTGGTGTGATCGTTATTCGGGGGGGCTCGCGAGCTGCGCGACTCGCGAGTTCACAGCATGTCAGCATCTGCCAGAAGTGGAAGTGGCGTCGTCAGCATCTCTCAAAAGTGGCGTCAGTTTCGTAGTTCGCAGCTCTCTCAGGGATGGCGAGGTCGCGCTCGGGTCTGCGCAGCACCGTACTAAGCTGCCCCCAGCCGCCTTCGAGAAAGGCGACGGTTTCGCAGCAATTCGCCCCCCCCCCCCCCCCCCCTGCGATGGCGAGGTCCCGCTTTGATCTGTTTAGGACCACACTAAGTTGCCCCACCCCCAGCAGCCATCGAGAGTGGCGGCGGCAGTTTCGCAGATCGCAGCCCCCAAAGATGGCGAGGTCCCGATCTAATCTGCGGAGCACCGCACTAAGTTTGACCCCCCACCCAGCAGCCCTCGAGAGTTGGGACAGGTTCGCAGTTCGCAGGCCCCCAATGATGGCGAGGTCCCGCTCTGGCCTGCCTAGCACCACACTGAGCTGGATCCCCCAGCAGCCCTAGAGAGTTGGGACAGGTTCGCAGTTCGCAGCCCCCCAATGATGGCGAGGTCCCGCTCAGATCCGCCTAGCACCACACTGAGCTGGATCCCCCAGCAGCCCTCGAAAGTGGCGACAATTGGACAGTTTGCACCGGAGACGTTCTGCCCTGCTCTGCGTAGCACCGCATTGAGCTGCCCCCATGCCCCCCAGCAGCCCTCGAAAGTGGCGCCACTTTCACAAATCGCAGGCGAGGTCCTGTTCTGATATGTGCAGCACGGCACTAAGCTGACCCTCCCCAGCAGCCTTCGAACGTGGCGACAGTTTCGCAGGTCGCAGCCGCCCCCCCACCCCGAGATGGCGAGGCCCGCTTTGGTCTGCGTAGGACCGCACTGAGATGCCCCCCCAGCAGCCTTCGAGCGTGGCGACAGTTTCGCAACTCGCACACCCCAAAGGGATGGCGTGATCCTTCTTTGATCTACTTAGCGCCGCACTAAGCTGGACCCCCCTTAGCAGCCCTCGACAGTGGCGGCAGTTTCGCACATCGCAGCCTTCAGGGCTGGCGAGGTCTCGCTCGGATCTGCGCAGCACCGCACTAAGCTCCCCCCCAGCAGCTCTCGAACGTAGCGACAGTGTCGCAGTTCGCACCCCCTCCAAAGGTGGCGAGGTCCCGCTCTGATCTGCGTAGCATCGCACTGGGCTTGTCTTCCCAGCAGCCTGCGAGAAAGGCGACGGTTTCGCAGATCGCAGCCCCTCCCCTGGCATGGCGAGGTTCCGCTCTGATCTGCGTAGCACCGCGCTAAGTTGGACCCCCCCAAGCAATTCTCGAAAGTGGCGACAGTTTCACAGAGGGCAGCCCCCCAGAGATGGCGAGGTCGCGCTCTTATCTGATTAGCACCATATTAAGCTGGCCCCCCCCAGCAGCCCTCGAAAGTGGCGGCAGTTTCGCAGATCGCAGCCCCCCCTCCCCCTCCCAGGGATGGCGAGGTCCCGCTTTGATCTGCTTAGCGCCGCCCTAAAGCTGGAGCCCCAGCAACCCTTGAAAGTGGCGACAGTGTCGCAGTTCGCACCACCCCCAAGAGATGACGAGGTCCCGATCTGATCTGCTTAGCACCGCATTAAGCTGTCCCCCCTAGCAGCACTCGATAGTGGCGACAGTTTCGCAGAGCGCAGCCCCCCAGAGATGGCGAGGTCGCGCTCTGAGCGTCTTAGCACTGCACTAAGCTGCCCCCCCGACAGCCCTCGAATGTGGCGGCAGTTTCGCAGATCGCAGCCCCCCGCAGGGATGGCATGGGCGGAGGCAGGTACGAGATAAGTACGAGACAAAAGTAGAGAGAGAGAGAGAGAGAAAAAAAAAGAGAGAGAAAGAGAGAGAGAGAGAGAAACAATCACAGAGAGCGAGAGAGAAGAAGAGACAGCGAGAGAGAGAGAGAGGTAGAGTGAGAGCGAGAGCGAGAGACAGAGAGAGAGAGAGAAGACGAAGGGAGACGGGAGGAGGAGAAGGAAGGACGCGACCACAGAGGTCTGTTCAAAACTATAACCAACAACGGAGGACTGGGGAAAAACTAATACCGTAGCACCCCGCAGTGGCGGAGAAGAGTGAGGGGGCGGCGAGGACGTCGGCAGTCTGAAAGTCTCTGAAGAAGCCCACCGCAGGCACCTCAGTTTTTGAAATTGTGCATTGAGCCCGCCGCAGGCGCCGATCTTTTCGGTAAAGCAATGTGGCTGGATCGCGGGGTGGGTCGCGGGTGGGTCGTGGGGCGGTTCGCGGGATGGATCGCGGGGTGGGTCGCGGGGTGGGTCGCGGGGTGGGTCGCGGGTGGGTCGTGGGGCGGTTCGCGGGATGGATCGTTGGGTGGGTCGCGGGGTCGCGGGTGGTCGCAGGGTGGGTCGCGGGGTGGTCGCGGGGTGGGTCGCGGGTGGGTCGTGGGGCGGTTCGCGGGATGGATCGCGGGGTGGGTCGCGGGGTGGGTCACGGGGTGGTTCGCGGGTGGGTCGTGGGGCGGTTCGCGGGATGGATCGCAGGTTGGGTCGCGGGGTGGATCGCCAGGTGGGTCGCAGGGTGGGTCGCGGGCTGGGTCGCGGGCTGGGTGGCGGGTTGGGTCGCAGGCTGGGTCGCGGGCTGGGTCGCGGGGTGGGTCGCGGGTGGGTCGCGGGTGGGTCGCGTGTGGGTCGCAGGGGGGACGACGACAACAAACAACAACAACATCAACACTAACAACAACAACAACAACCATTTTAAGGCTGTACGCTCTTACTTGCCCGCGAGTCATTCAACACGTATACCCTACACCCTCGATACCCGCCCTCTTCGTCTTCGATCACACCCCTTTCGGGGGGATTATTTCTCTTTGCTGGGGCCGGCGGGCTTAGACGTACGGGCAAACCGGAACGGGCGGACAATCCTTCGGGGGCGTACATCTCTCTGCCCGCCATTGGAATTGGCGCGGGCCCTGCAAGAGGAGGAGGGGAAGAACGAGGGAGAGTGGGAGGAAGGGGAGGGGGAAGGACGAAGGAAGAGGGAAGATACCACGTTGTGAAGGCGTCCTTGGCGCGTGCGTGGTTCCTGAGCGCCGAAACGCAATTCCATAATAATTTGTGAGGACGTCGCACGCGAGAGCGCAGTCCTGAGTACATTGTGAGGAAATCTCAGGCGGAAGCGGGGGCCCTGACTAAGTTGCGAGGAAGTCTCAAGCGGGAGCGCCGTTCCTGAGCAAATTGCACGGAAGTCTCAGGCGGGAGCGGGGGTCCTCACTAAATTGCGAGGAAGTCTCAGGCGGGAGCGCCGTTCCTGAGTCAATTGCGCGGAAATGTCAGGCAGGAGCGGGGGTCCTGAGTAAAATTCGAAGAAGTCTCACGCGGGAGCGCCGTTCCCACGTAAATTGCACGGAAGTCTCAGGCGGGAGCGGGGGTCTTGATTACATTGCGAGGAAGTCTCAGACGGGAGCGCCTTTCCTGAGTAAATTGCGCGGAAGTCTCAGGCGGGAGCGGGGGTCCTGAGTAAAAATCGAGGAAGTCTCAGGCGGGAGCCGTTGTTGTTGTAGCCCGGGGGGCAGGGGCACAGTTTGAGCAGGAAGACTTTCCTTGAGAAAAAACAAGGTGCGAGCCCCGGGGGTGGCACTTCAATCGAAAAAAATCAATGTGCACCGGTGGGGGGGGATCAACAATAATTATTCTTCAAGAATGAGAGTTCAACAACAACAACAACAATCATTTTACCCGAACGCGTGGTGTTCTCCCCAGTGCCAGGGTTTTCATACGACACCAGGCAATACCCCCACTTCGTGGGGGGGCATTACAAGCTCTACCAAATATCCAAACGACTCTTCGCGACCACCCAAACCCAGCTTCCCGCCCTATGACGTTGGGACACTTCACTTCGTGGCGTGCGGACGACCGTGGCTACTACACTGGCGTGGCGCGCGCGAACCCCGTTGCAAGAGCGTGCGAAAGTAGCTCGCGCGAGCTCATGTAACATAAATGTTGGAAAACCATTGGTTTTTTAGGATTCGGACAGCGCGCGCGGGTGGAAATTTTGAAAAGTCGTGCAGGTGTTTTTCGAGGACCTACGGTGCGATTCGTGTGATTTTATGATGCGCGGTGCTAAAATTCTTAAGAAGCCCAATGGTTTTTGGAGATTTCGGCGTGCGCGCGCGAAGAAAAAACGAATGTGTCCCGCATGGTATTATTTGACAGGGATGATGGCCCTGGCAGGTGCGCAACCGTTGTCGCAGAAGTTCGAAAAAGTTGCTCGCAAAAGCCCGTTTGACAGAAATGTTTAAAAAGTGTTGGGTTTCCTACGAATCCGCAAGAGCGCGCGGGATGAGATTTTGACATTTTTTTGTTGAAAAACCATTGGTTTTTTGATGTTTTTATGTTAAAATCGCTCCGAACACTAAGCTTTTGGAAGGATTTCGTCTTGCGCGCGCGAATGTCCACTTTACCTTATTTTTTACAAGGGATTCTTGAAATTTGATTATATTTGAACAAGAAATTTCATTTTATAGTGTTTTTTGCAAGGGAAAACGGATTACAACAAAACAACCGGATCTTGATCACCTCGAATTACCTGAGGCTTCCTCACGAAAATGATGAAAACGTGGCTGCGGCCTAGGCGCGGCGGGGGGGGCGCGCACCAGGGGGCCCAACAATAATTATTCTTTAGAATTAATAATGTTCAACAACAACCACAACCACAACCACAACCACAACCACAACCACAACCACAACCACAACCACAACCACAACCACAACCACAACCACAGCAACAGCAACAGCAACAGCAACAGCAACAGCAACAGCAACAGCAACAGCAACATCAACAACATCAACAACAACATCAACAACAGCAACAACAACACCAACAACAACACCAACAACGACAGCAGCAGCAGCAACAACAACGCAACAAGCAGAAGCTTCACCACGGATCCGCACTAGAAACACGCACCTAGGGACAATGAATGACCGTTCGGCCCCCTCATTCTGATGAGCATGCGCATGATTATCGCGGAGGTGGTGTCGTGTGAGTGTTCTTGACGCTTCACCTATCCTTACCGGCGCGTTAGGCAATTAGGTTCGCGCGTGGCCCGCCCGTCCCGTTTGACGCCGCCTGCACTTTCGCTTGCGGCTGCGACAAAAAATTGTTTCCCGGCTCGAGATTGTTTTTTTATCCTCTGGGGGGTAACGCTCGTTACCCGGGCCTCTCCCCCCCCCCCCCCCCGTAACGGTAACGCTCGTACGCGGGGGGGGTCTCGGTCTTCCCCTCCAACATGCTGGTGCCCGAAGGCATGCGCACTGTGGTGTGGTGGTCGCAGGCGCACTGTGGGCGCTCGCAGGCCATTGCGGCGCTCGCATGCGCGATGCTGGTGCTTGCGGGCTTTGCGCTTGTACTCGAATCGTCGTCGTCGTCGTCGTCGTCGTCGTCGTCGTCGTCGTCGTCGTCGACGGCGCCCGAAAACGGCCTCCGGAGGCCGAAACAGGCGGCAAACGTCGTCGTCGTCGTCGTCGACCTCGTCGCTCGTCGCTCGTCGATCATCGTCGTCGCGCGCGCGGGCGCGGGCGTGGTGCCGGGACCACGCGGCGGGCTTTGCGCTTGTACTCGAATCGCAAGCCACTGTGGTGCTCTCAGGCAGAGAGTGCTGCTCGCGCGCATACTATGGCGATCGCAGAGCGCCCCTGCTTCGCCATACCCCGCCCAGCCCAAGCGTTACCGTTACCCGGGGGGCACGACCCCCCCCCCCCCGGGTAACGAGCGTTACCGGCCGGAATAAAAAAATGATCTCCTCATCCCGCAACGATTCCAAGGAAGTTGTAGGTGATAGGGAAGCGTGTCGTACAGTCAACCCGAGTTGTATGGATGGGCAGCCGTCCTTAGGGAACCCTTGTATCCTTGCCTCCTCGGCCCATCCTTGGCCACTTTCGTTGGCCGCGCCCCGCTCGAAAAGCTTTGACGTGGCCTTCCAAGGCCCTTGCATCCTTATCGCGCATCCTTACTATACTGGTTGACTGTATCCTCGCCCATCTCTCTATACTAAATTCTTCGGTGAGTTGACAGTCGCCTCGAAGGGGTTCCGCGAATGCCTTCTGTTTTTTCTCCAGAGTTTTCCGTGAGAGGGGAGGGGTGCCCAGGAGGAAGTGTGGATCTCCGAATCTTGCCAACGACGGACGAGCCCATGTAGCAGTGCATCCATGTCATCCAGAACCCATGCCCTGGCATGTAGTCTTAGAAGTCTCGTTAAGGCAAGCCATCGAGAAATGAAGCATTGACGTGCTGCCACGATTCACGAAGTGTGATAGCATACAGTGGAACAGCTGCGCAGAACAATCCGTTGAACACCTGATTTGGCCGACGACGGAGGACCCCATACTAAACGAGCTTCCTGCCATCCACTACCGATGCTCATGCGAGTTGTCGTAGGAGCACCGTGGAGGCCTCGAGCAGCCAGCCAGCAGAAACAATACCAGGGCGTGGTGCTTTGACTTATAGAGTATACTAGCATGTATTGGAACAGCCCCCAGAAGAATCTGGGAGACACAGGACATGACCGAAAACGGAGAGTCCATAATGCAGCGCATCCATTTCCTCCAGAGAAGCACACGCCCTGGCGAGGTGTCTTGAGAGCCCCGTGGGGGCCTTGAATGAGCAGCCAGGAAACTGTCCAGAGATGATGCCCAGGCGTGTTTACCCTGATCACTGATGTGCAATCGAATGCAATAGAACAGCCGCCCAGTAGGATTTGTGGGGCACAGACTTCCGACCGACGACGGAAGCGCCCGTACAGATGTGCACACACTTCATCCAGAACCGTTCCCCAGTCGAGTTATTTCAGGAGCCTCGTGGAGGCCTCCTGGAGTCATATTGGGAGGACGGGGAGAAGTGGGAGGAGGATGAGGATAATAGATCATGGAAGAGGAGGTGGAGGAGGAATCGAAGGAGGATTAACTTGAGAACGAATGAAACATGAAAAGGAGGATGCGGGGAAGTGGAGGAGGAGGAGGCGGGGGCCTTCGCGGACCTTCTCTTGCGAGCGCGTCGTGGAGCCACCACAAGCCTGTCCCAATCGGAATCCCATGATGATTGCTTGGGTGAGGGAGGTCGTATAAGTCCACAGGATGTGTGGGAAGCCAAATCATAACGCGTCGAATAAGCTTGTGTATTATGCTGAGATAGGGTCAGGCTGAGACAGAAAGACAGACAAAGAGGCTGCATCTTCTTGCGTATCCTGTCATTCTCTGAGAGCGGGAGAGCGAAAGAGAGAGAGAGAGAGCAGTATATACAGGAGAGAGAGAGAGAGAGAGAAAAAAAAAAAGGATAATATATATATGTATATATGTAGGTTTGTGTATACTTATGTGTGTAAGTATGTATGTATGTATGCATGCATGCATGCATGCATGCATGCATGCATGCATGTCTGTCTGCCTGCCTGCCTGCCTGCCTGCCTGCCTGCCTGCCTGCCTGCCTGTCTGTCTGTCTGTGTGTCTGTGTGTCTGTCTGTCTGTCTGTCTGTCTGTCTGCCTGTCTGTCTGTCTGTCTGTCTGTCTGTTTGTCTGTCTGTCTATATGTATGATACACAAGCCTATATCCAGGAATACAAACTTATACAGTATACAAAATCCCTGAAACATCACTGGATGGACCCCGGAGGGCTCCGAAACGGCACCAGAGCTCCACAGAAGAGCCTCGAGGCGGCCCAATGAGGGAGGCTTCGCGGCGAAGCCCTGAGATGGGCCAAGACCGCCCTGAGACGGCCCAGGCTGTTCCCAAGACAGCCCCATAGACCACCAAGACGCCCCGGGACGGCTCCGAGGGCACATTCCAGAGGGCCCCGAGAGGCCTGAATCCGATGGGTTTCCTACAGATTCTGAGATTCTCGCGCTCTCAACGGTCTGGACCCCAACACGGCCCGAAAAGACTCCCAGGATCGCCCCGGACGGCCCAAGAGGAGCCCAAGAGAGTCCCAAGACAGCCCAGGGACGGCCCAAGAGGCCCCAAGACGGCCCAATAGAGCCCCTCGAGCCCCCCAGGACGGCCCAACAAGCCTCCAAGAGTCCCCCAAGACAGGCCAAGAGGGCCCCGAGCCTGCCCACGAAGGCCCCAAGACGGCTGAAGATGCTGTCAAGACGGCCCCAGAGGGCCTCAGACGCCCCAAAAGAGCACCAGGAAGACCCCCAAGAAGGCTTGACGAGGCGAAAATCATTGATTTCACGTTGATTGTCGATCGCACACCGCAGCTTGCTGGCATTTGCGTGCCAGAGACAGAAGCGCGCGTCGGCAAACCTCGACTCACGCAGCGCTGTGGATATAATCCACGGGTCCACGCTTGTATACATACATGTATAAGTATGTATGTGTATACAACTATACATATATATACATGTGTATACACACTTGCAATTAAATACAAGTAATAATGCATACACACATACACACAAATATAGGTACATATATATGTATACATGTGTGTAGATGTATGTATAGATGTAGATACGCATATATGATTCTTTATATGTGTAGACAGAGAGAGACAACACACATGGATATAGAGAGAGCGAGACAGAGAGAGAGAGAGAGTCCGTATATATATATATATATATATATATATATATATATATATATAGATACAGAGAGAGAGAGAGAGAGAGAGAACAAAGGTGCCGCTCGTGTTCTTCGGGGCCTACGCTGGCTTCAAGAGGGACGTGATCGAGCTCCCGGTCAGCGATCCCATGTTTTCAGCAGAATCTTCATGTCTGGCAGCCAGAGTTGCACGGTTCATTTCGGTGGCCCAAGTTGTTTTCATGTTTATAGTTGACGTGCCATGCCTCCAGAGAGACACCATTTCGAAATCGCCAACGGCGAGTTACTGTCGCCCGCTGCCTTTCGGGGAGTGCTTGCTTCTGAAATTGTTGACGCTTCGCGAGTCCCCACCACGTCGTCAATGGCGTTTGGAGCCTGGCGCCCCACCGGCGACTCACTCCACAGGCTTCCCACCTGCCCCCACTCAGAACGACGGACTTGGTTATCCTGGTTTACGTCTCATACTGTGTGGGTCGTGCCATGGCAGGCACCGAATTGCATGACACTTTGTCCTGTGCACGTGCTCGAGCTCTCAGGATGCCCCCCGCCGTCAGCTCCCCTTCAGCTTCGCGGCTGCTTTGTGAGTGGGCTGGCCGGCCTGTGCCTGTTGTAGCTAATTAGCCTCGTTCGCGCCCCGGACTTTGCTTTCGCCGCCTGCCTCTTCGCTCGCGGCCGCGACCGAAAAAAGAGTCCCCACCAGCCCATCCGGAAACGATGCCCAGAGGAATTGCCTCGATCAGGGAAGTGGGCAGCACACAGAGGAAGCCAGTATGAGACATCTTGGGATATCTTGAGTCATCTTGGAGGTCATTTTGGGCTCTCCCAGGCGCTCTTGGAGCCATCTTAATCGGTGCACTCCCCCAAGAGGCCAAATCAATGATTTGGCATTCTCGCCGAGGCCTCTTGGAGCATCTTGGGTGCCTCAGGGGGGTCTCTTGGGTCCTCTTGGGGGTCTCTTGGGGGCCTCCTGGGGGCCTCTTAGGGGCCTCTTGGGGCCATCTTGGGGCCGCACGCGGGGGTCCGCGGACCATGGCTGGGGCTTCCCATTTGCTTGGCCATGCCAGTCGCAGGCGGTCATGCCCGTGCGAGCCGTGGGAACTTCCCAGAGCTGCCATGGTGCCCGGTGCCTCTTGGCCCTCCTCGTCTCGTTCCCTTGGAGCCTCCTCCTTCCCCTCAGCCCACTGCGGACCCAGGCTCAAGGGCAGCGCTAGGTTCGGGGTTCGAAGTTCGAGGTTTTTGGCACGGTTTCGTCGGTTCTCGGCTGTTAGACGGCCTCGGGGCGCTCTCCAGTAGTTGCGCCTCGTCGAAGGCGTTCTTGGGGTGTCTGGGTTATTCCTAACCGCCTCCGGAGGCCCGAGTTCTGATCCAACAACCATAAGGGGATAGACTCAGTGGAGGTGCATCGACACCCACATTGCCCATTTATCGCCGATGGGGGCCCGATAGCCCACCCCGCCTAGGAACGTGGGGTTCTGCTGTCGGGGCCCTTTTGCCGATCTTCAATCGGTGTTTGGGCGGCCGCGGTTCGCTCTTTGCGTGTTGGCTTCCGCGACGCCCGGAGTTGACAGTGCACTGCGGTTATCCACCTGGTCCTGCCGTGGTTCTGACCAGATGCTGGGGCATTGCAACAACCAGCCCCCCGTTAGATGATCGTTTCGGGGACCTTATGGCCCACATGACGGATCCGTTAGGCTCTAATTCGACGCAGCCTCGACGCATGAGTGGAGCGAGTGGCTCGAGCAAGGTCACCAGAACCAGCACCCAAACCACCCCTTCTCCCCCCGCCCACTCCCCCTCCGTCCGTCCTCGTTTATCCCCTTTCTCACCTCGTACCCTCCATGTCGCTGGCGTCCAGGTCCGCACGAACCCGATCCCGCGGAAGATCCCGGAGCTGCCCTGGTACTCGAAGCCCGTGTTCACGTCCCTCGTGGGTCGGCCGCTTGGGGGCCATCTTTTCGCCCCGTCTTTGCTGAATGGGGGGAGGGAGAGAGGGTGGGAGGAGGGATGGGCGGGGCAGGGAGGAGGACGGGGCGGAAGGAGGGGCGACGAGGGAAGGAGGGAAGAATGGCAGAAGGGATAAGGAAAGGTAGGTAGGGAGGGATGGAGGAGCAAGGAGAGAGGGAGGAACGAGTGAAGAGGGAAGGCAGGAGGGATGAGGATGATGATGTGGATGCGCATCAGTATTGCAAAATATGGTGATTCACTTTGATGCTGCTGACGATGACTACGCTGCAGGTGACGATTACGATGCCCGTGACGAGGACGATGATGGACATGGTGATGATACCGATGCTGATGCTGATGATGATGGTGATGGTGATGGTGATGGTGATGATGATGGTGATGGCTATGTTGCTGATGATGCTGATGCTGATGCGGACGATGATGATGCTGACGTGTGATGTGATGATGATGGTGATGATGATGATGGTGATGGTGATGACGATGATGACTATTATGACGATGCTGAAACTGACAGTGCTGCTGCTGGGGATGTTGATGGTAATGGCGATGGTGATGATGGCGATGACGATGATCCTGTTAGTGATGTAAATTGTGATGAATGAGCAGAAGGGGAAGGATGATGATGATCATGCTGCTGATGATGATGCTGATACGTTTGAGGATGCTGATGATGATGATGCTGATGATGATGACGACGATGATGATGATGCTGATGCGATGATGATGTTGATGATTATGATAATCATGATTATGACGAGGATGCTGATGACGATGATGATTATGATGATGGTGATGATGGTGGTGATGCTGATACTGAATACGTTATGACGATGTTGCTGATGATGCTCATCATCATGCACACGACGATGTTGAGGATGGTGGTCGAGGTGGTGGTGGTGGTTGTGATGACGATGACAAGTTCGATGACGATGGCGATTATGCTGATGCTCATCATGGTCATAAGGACAATGGCGCTGACGCCGCCGCCGACGACGACGACGATGAGGACGAGGATGATGAAAATGATGACGATGCTGATGATGATAAATTTGATGATGGTGTTGGTGTTGGTGGTGGTGATGGCGATGCCGATGATGATGTTGATAATGACGCTGCTGCTGATGATGGTGGTGGTGGTGATGATGATGCTGATGATAATGATGCTGATGATGATGACGATGCTGCTGCTGCTGATGATGATGATATGATGATGCTGCTGATGATGGTGATGCTGATGCTGCTGATGATGATGATGATGGTGATGGAAAGGATGATGATGATGATGATGATGATGATGATGATGATGATGATGATGATGCTGATGCTGATGCTGATGCTGATGCTGATGCTGATGCTGCTGATGCTGATGCTGATGCTGATGCTGATGCTGATGCTGATGATGATGGCTGGTACTTGTACGAGAATGCTATGCGGCTCGACGGATTTCGGCCGCTCGACCCCCAACCGTCCTCTCCGCTTCAAAGGCTCGGATCGCCTCCACGCGCGCAGTGGGCGTGAGGTGGCTGATCGAGCGAGGCCCCGAGCACGTGGCCGAAGGGTTGGTGAACTACGCGGGCCTTGTCCATCGTTCCCAGCGTGTCCCAGTGCTGCGTGCCCGCCTTGCCAGCAGCTGGAGTGCGGGGACTCCAAGGTGCCCGTCTGTCCGAGATGTCCGTCGTGCAGGCCCGTCGTCAGGACCGGCTTGGGAGAGGAGGCCGCAACGTCCTGTACAAGCTGCACGTGGCCGCCAGTGCAGACTCGCACGTGTACGCCGAGAACTGGTCCCCATGGTCGGGCGAGGCGGTGGCCGAGCGGTGGTGTGCCGACCATAAAAACCTGCCAGCTGGCGTGGCGAGAGACTGGGTGCACCGCCTCAGGCTGGAGCCGACGCCTGCGCGCGACGCAGCTCTTCGGCAGGCTGCCGAGGGCGCGGCCGAGGCAGAGGGGCGAGCATCACTAGGGGCCCAGGGTGTGCCGCTGGCCGCGTCGGGCTTCGTGAGGGCCCTGCCTATCGACGGCCAGGGGCAGCTCGTGGGGCTCGGCGGCGGCGCGGTGGTGGCAGCTGGAGGGCTGGGCGCCGTGGGTTCCGCCCTTGCCCTGCCTGCTGCGCTGCCCGTGTGGCTCAGCCAGAGCGGCGACCGTGTGGTCGGCTGCCGAAGCAGGCGGAAGCTAGCTTTTTTGTCGGAAGCGTCGTGCCCGGGCAAGTGCGCTCGGCTCGGGCTTTGGGCTCGAAGGACCTCCACGTGCTGGCAGGCGGGACTCCCCTCTTCGATGAGGAGGTGACTCCCGATCTGGAAAAGGCCTTTTTCGACATGGGGTCGTGGGGGGCGCTCGGATCATGGCCGTGAGGCGCGACCGCCCAGGTCGGCGGGAGCGGACCTGCGTCGTGGGAGAGGACTTGACCGACCAGGGGGATCTTCCAGGGCCTCGATCGACGCTGTGGTGCCTCGAGGTTGTGAGCCAGGAGGGTCTCGGCAACGATGGGCGCGCGACCGTATCAGGAGCGCGAGCAAGCTGGGGTCTTCGAGCTGGAGCGTCTCAGAACACTACAGCGTGACTCATACGCTGAAGTTCGGGGTCCAGCACGACCAGATCAACGGAAGCAATCTGACGATGGTGGAGAACCTCACCCATCGCCTTCTGACCATCGAGATCGCCCGCTCTGAGCGCGCTCGCGAGCAGGCGGTTGCGAGCGCGAGCGAAAAGAAAGACAACAAGGACCAGGGTCGACTAGCTTGAGTCTGCCCCTCCTTGTGCCGCACGGCGTGGGGACATGGAGGGGCTCTCGCTGCCGCACGGTGCTGCCTGCGTGGGCGCGCCAGGGCTACCCCGCCCCTCTCGTGCCGCCGAGCGCCAGGCTCCTGGCGCGAGACACGAAGCTCGTGAATTGCTGACGCTTCGCGAATCCCCACCAGCCCATCCAGAAGCGATGCCCAGAGGAATTGCCTCGATCAGGGAAGTGGGCAGCACACAGAGGAAGCCATTATGAGACCTCTTGGGATATCTTGACCCATCTTGGAGGTCATTTTGGGCTCTCCCAGGCGCTCTTGATCTTAATCAGTACCTCCCCCCAAGAGGCCAACATGTGGCTAAAACCTTAGAATAATCAATGCTTTGGCATTCTCGCCGAGGCCTCTTGGAGCATCTTGGGTGCCTCTGGGGGGTCTCTTGGGTCCTCTTGGGGGTCTCTTGGGGGCCTCCTGGGGGCCTCTTGGGGGCCTCTTGGGGCCATCTTGGGGCCATCTTGGGACCTCTTGGGGCCTCCTGGGCGCTTCTTGGGGCCATCTTGGAGGAGATCGATCAAACAAGAGGGGAGCATTAATTACCCCAGGAGGCCAACATGGGGCCACAACCCTAGTACAACAAATGCTTGTGGCTTCCTCGCCGAGGCAGTTTTGGCATTCTGGCCGAGACCTCTTGGAGCACCTTGGGTGCCTCTGGGGGGCCTCTTGGGGGTCTTTTGGGGGCCTCCTGGGGGCCTTTTGAGGGCCTCTTGGGTCTATCTTGGGGCCATCTTGGGACCTCTTCGGGCCTCCTGTTCGCTTCTTGGGGCCATCTTGGAGGAGATCGATCAACCAAGAGGGGAGCATGAATTAGCGCCCCCCACCATCAGGAGGCCCAAATGGGGCCAAAACCATAATAACACCAATGATTTTGGCTTCCTCGCCGAGGCCGTTTTGGACGCTCCGACACCTCGCGAAACCCCTTGTCCAGGTCCACGGGGAGGGGGTAGGGGGATGGGTCAAGACCCCCTCCCCGTCCACAAGCCGTCTCGCTCACTCCCACCCGCCCTCCCAACACATACGCAGCACCCGAGTCTGGCCCGAGCCTCAGCATATTCAGCAGTCGTCTTTGGATGGGCAGCTACTGGGGGCCGATCCGCCGCCGCCGCCGCTGCCGCCGCCGCCGCCGCCCCCCGCTGCCAAACTGCCGCCGCAGCCGCTGCCGCCCACCGCCGCCGCCGCCGCCGCCGCCGCCGCCGCCGCCCCCGCCCCCGCCGCCGCCGCCGCCGCCGCCGCCGCCGCCGCAGCCGCCGCAGCCGCCGCAGCCGCCGCCACCGCCGCCGCAGCCGCCGCAGCCGCCGCCGCCGCCAAGTGTACCCTGTATTGTTTTTTTGACAGGGATGGGGGGGGGGGGGGCGCATCGGGTTGGCTGCGCATGTTCCGAATTTGGAGGCAGAGTGTGTTTTGTATTGTTTCTTACAAGGGATGGTGGTGGGGGGTTGTCGTGGACCCTGGTTGGCCCCCAGTCGCCTGGGGGAGGGGGTGTTTATTAATAGGGAACAGTGATAAACCCCTCCCCGAAGGGGAAGAAGGAGGGGTGGAAGAGGAAACGCTCTAAACCACCGACGCCCAGAGGGCTGGAGGGATTAGAGCTCCACGGGCAACCTCCTCCTCTTCCTTCGGCCTCCGCCCCTCCCTCTGGTCGTGTCTCGCGGGGGCACCGGATGCGCGATTCGAGCCGACGCGTGCCGTGTGAGTCGTTCCCGTGGCCGCGGGGAGCTCTGTTCCAGGCGAATCCCGCGCGGGGTGGCAAGATGTCTCGAGGCAGTCGGCAGAGGTCGCGCTGCCTCCTCTGAGACTTCCGGGGGCGGATGTTTCAGTTTAGTTTCTTCTGGTCAGGCCGCCGTGTTGGACCGCGTCCGATGTGCCGCTCGTGACCTCGGTCCTCCTCCTGAGGGGTTGCTCCCGCGTGAGCTCTGAGGAAGCTTCGCGCGGCGAGCTGGCGCGACGTGCGCGGTGCCTCGCCCGGTCGCTGCTCCCTCGCCGACGTCTCACTTCCCCCGGGCTCGCCCTGCGCTGATCCGTTGTCCGAGCTGCAGGGTGAAGGCGGGCGCCGACTGGCAGATGACTTCTGCTGGTTGATGTCGCTCCGCCGGAGCAGTCGCGAGCCCGACTTCTCAGGGAGCCAGAGACGGGGTAACAGCAGACGGGGTAACAGGAAACGGCCGGTTCGAGGCATCAAA